CCCACTTTATAATGGGGTTGTTTGTTTTTCTTGGACCTTGAACATTTATCGTATACTATAAGAAAAGGATTGACAGTGGTGGGAAACTATGGGGGGGAGGAGGGAGTGGAAGGGAAGTGAGATTAATGGTAGTAAATATCTGTCTGGGGACGGGGAGACACCACTTATCAACAAGGGTGCCTGAACGAAACATATTTGTATACCTAACCCTTAACTGTACCCCACAATACCAAAATAAAAAATATTGATTAATAAAAAAATGACTTTTATTTACTTTATTTCTCATTTGTTTGTCTCATTTGCACAATCCTATAAAAATAGTAAGTAATTTTTTTCCCCCAACATGCCTTTGTTTATGTTAGATGCAGCTTAAAAATGAGACAAAAAAACTACTGTTTTGTCAATACTCTCAGAGCACTTTTGGGAAGTATGCAAAAAGCACGAGCAACTGTTGAATTAGAGACCCAAGCCAGGTGTGGGAAGACATGTCACCAGGTGTCCCTCCATGTACCCCTCTGGTTTGTCTCTTCTGAGAAGCCATCCATATTTACCCAGGAGATGGCTCTGTGTTTGCCCTGAGGGTGAATCTAGGTTTTATGAGGCTTGAAACTTAAACAATTTGTAGGAGGGGGGCTCTTTAAGAAAATGAATATGAAATTAGGGGCAAGGTACAGGAAGAAGATCTTGCAAATTGAGGGGCATTAAAGCTTAAGCTCTATTAGCTTTATGGCAGATTCATCTCCGACTCTACTTAATGTCCATGTATTACTCTAGCTCTATGACTGGCTTACCCCATTTCCAAGTAGCGTATGCTATTTCTCTTAAGAAGCACCAATGAGACATGAGACATTCTATGTGATTTTTGAGAAGGAAAAGTTTCGTTGTCTTCTGTGGGAGCTACCTATCAAGATTCTCTCTTTTCCTTTGGATGATCTGATATGAGGTCCCGAAGTGTTGCCGCCATTTTGCTATTCTGAGGGGACTGCCTAGAGCTACCGAGGTTACCCAGCGGAGGTGAGTTTGAAACCTACAGAGGCTAAAGGCAGAACAGAGCGATGAAAAGAACAAGGTCCTTGGTAGTATTACCCGATCCATGAGCAAATCTTGCTGAAAACCAAGACTTTCTCTGAATTTTTCTGTTGTAAGAACCAACAGCATTGAATTACGTTCAAGGCAATTTGACTTGTGTTTTCTGAAACTTTCATTCAACATTTGCCCAACTGATACAACACAGAATTTCAGGAAGCTGGTGTAATGTAGTAATATAAAGAACAAGAAATATTCAATTAATTTAAGGATTGCACATTTCATAGCTTCTTAGTTTTTTATAGTAATGCATATAAAATTATTTGGGGTACCACATGTTTATTGAAACAAAGTCTAGAATTATCCACTGCTTAAAATCATTACTTAGATAAGTACTCTCAGATTTTGTTTAGAAAGAACTACTTCTGTTGTCCAAGATCTTTGGTTAATAATATAATTGAAGGATTTCAATTCTTCCTTGAGCTTGTGGAGAGTAACAAATTCTCCATTAAAAAGTTCAAGTCATGGTATTGTTTATAATGACAAGAATTTCAGGTGCTTCTTTTTTTTTTCAAAGATGTGGGGTACAATTCAGGGTTAGGTATACAAATGTTCGTTATGCAGGTACCCTTATTGATGAGGTATGCGCCCTTCATGTGCTTCCTAGGTTCATCTCCAGTGCAATCATGTTGGGCTATAGTAGTTTTTCCTTCCAATTACATTATTATACTTCAAACGTCATTTTCCCATTAGGCAAATAATAAGATATATTTTCATACTTTACAATCTTGTTTATTAATGGTTTTTATACAGGATAGTCTTCGGTTTCTAGTCCATTTGTAAGAAGTTCCTATTAAGAAATTCAATGAAGCATGGGAACAACGTACGCGTAATTTATTAACATATCAAGAGGCTTTAATTTGCTAACATTTTCCTATCATGCTGGTGTGCCAGAATATAAAGAACAAATTGCTAAAGCATGGAATATAGTAGAATTGCAAGAAAAAGCTATCTATCTTCTAAAGACTCCCGGCTTCAATTGTTCACAGCATGAAGGACCCCAGCTTGCAAAAGGATAGTGTTTATTCCTGTTGCCTAATTTATTTAGGCTCTGCCTGTTTACCTCTACTATTTATTTAACACTATGTAAAATTAGAAGAGCACATATGGAAAAGCACTGCCAAAGAAAATACATGTACACAGATCTGCTCAAAAACCTTGAAGGAGGTTTACATCTTCCAGTTACTTTAGAAACAGTGATTTCCTCATTTAATTTAGCTCATTTTTTTCTACACGGTTAAACTGAGAAGCTATGATTACTAGCAAATAGTGTACCAGATGCCTTCTATATTCCATATGAATCATAACGAGTACCACATTTTCTTCAACTGGCTTAGAATTTCAGGAACATTTGTGTCCAAATTTCTTAGGGCGTTGTACATGCACTCCCAGCATGCTGCAGTCCCTACTATACCCATGTCATAAATGATGGCCGCTCATATTTCTGCTATCGGAGTTTTCATCTTTGCTCTGGACTGAACTCCCTTTAAGAGGGTTGGGACTGTACGCTCTTCCACTCAGTGAAGCTTGACAAGTTGTGCGTGTGTGATACCTATTTGTTGACTGAATGATGGAAAAAACAAATAAACAAATGGAGAAAAGAAAGAAACTCTGATCTATAATTTTCCTTTAAACACAATATCCTAGTTGATGTCAAAGAAAAAGGACCTCCTTCCCTGTTTTAAAAAAGAATAAAATGGCTATAACAGTAGCTCAGCTTATGAGCTTTTAATATAATGTGACATGCTACTTGAGAATCTAAATTTTCATTGTATATATATTTTATAGTATCTAATATATAATGGCTATTCAATTAATGCTCAATAAAACACATGCAGATAAGAGTTTGTTAAATAACTAGTTTAACAGTTTTCATCCTCACACTGATAAGTTAGTTTGGTTTGTTTTCTACTCAAAGATTACACTTCAACCTTGGCAAGTCATGTGAAAAATGCATATCATTCAAATCTTCTCATTCCAGTATGGATGTGGTAGCATCTATTTACCTTCATTATGTGAAAGACTGTTCAAAGCAGATGATCCCTTCAAGTGATTCACAATTCTATCATCATTACACACATAGCACTAGCTAAATCTGAGATGGCAGGCCGTACTTAGTACTTAGTAACTCATCAGTTCTGCAAAACAACCCTACTGTGATTGTTCCTGTTATACAGGTGAGGAAACTGAGACAAAGGGAAATGAATAATCTTGTCTAAGGCTTCACAGCTATATATACTATATACACTATATATGCAAGCATATTATAATTCAATTGCTAGCATTTTTTTTTTTTTGCCAGCTGTATAACCCTCAATAAGATATTGGTTAACTGATCTTTGTGGTCCCTTTAGTGCCTATTATACCACAACTAAAATTAGAGATAAGCTAGCAACTAACATTTTATAAAGAAGTTATATAAAACCAAAGAACTAGAGAGTAAATGACATATAAGAATATGGAAAAATCAGCAAGGAAGCTACAAAAATAAGCCCAGGAATATTCCATGTGTAATAATAACAGCTAATGTTCTTGAAGTGCTTCTATGTGCCAAGCACCGTGTTACATTCTTTAAATGAATGTGCCATTTGATCTTTACAACTGTATAAGGTCGGATAGTACTATTATTCTCATACTACACATGGGTTAAGAGAAACAAGCTTTAGGTCACATACCTGATACATAGCGCAAGAGAGAATGTCAACCTGAGTAGGTCTAGCTTACCAGAAAAGGAGAAGGAGAAGGCAAGCTGAGTTAAAAACCATCTGCGGGATTAACTTTATTTTTTTATTTTTATTTTTATTCTTTTTTTTTTGAGTTGGAGTCTCACTCTGTCACCCAGACTGGAGTGCAGTGGCCACTCCCGGCCACTGCAGCCTCAACCTACTGGGCTCTGGCAATCCTTCGCCTCAGCCTTTCAAGTAGCTGGAACTACAGGTGCGAGCTACCATGCCCAGCTAATTTTTTGATTTATTGTAGAGATGAGGTCTCGCCAAGTTGCCCAGGCGGGTCTCGAACCCGTGGGCTCAGGCAATCCACTCACCTCAGCCTCCCAAAGCACGGGGGATTAACTTTAAATTGGCTGCAATGGCGTTTCTCTAAATCGCAGGGCTTATATGAATGAGCCCCTAGACCTGCCTCCTAAAACCAAATGTAAACGCATATACCTTGTAACAGTCTGTGGATTGCTACAGCAGCCAATCAAGTTTGGTAGAAAGAGAGAGGAACTCAAAAGAGATGGACTGAGGCTTTACGATGACTAAAGTACATAAACTAGGACTGGGATCTGATAGAGGCTTAGGCCATAGACAAAGAGCAGCTTTTTGGGCTCAGTTCCCAGTTCTTCATCGACGTTTCCTCTGGACAAATGAGGTGAACTAAGCACAAATTTGCTTTTTTATTTCTTGTCACCATTATGTATCATTTTCTTGCCATATTCTGGGGCCATATCTTCTCTCTCATATCTAGACACACCTATGATACATATACAGATTTTCTTTTTGGTAATATGCTCCCCACAGTGTGTGTGTGTGTGTGTGTTTTTACAGTTGAGTTAACATGTCTAATCACCTTAGGAATAAATCACAAAAATGAGTCACCATCATATTTTGAACTCACTTCAGGTCTTTACCTTGACTTTTAAGCCTAGGATATCTGAGCAACCTCTCCCTATATTTCTGCTCTTCCTCAAATATCCATTTCATTTAGCCTGTGTGAGCATTAATTTTTCTTCTTGTAGTTTAATTCCTGTGCTAAGAACTGAATAGATTTAGACACTGACCACAAAAGGAGATAGCAGCTAGCTCACTTTTTTTTTTTTTACAAACATGAACTGGATATATACACGCTGACAAAAATGCTTTCAGACTATAGCCTTACGAAGAAAATTAACTTCTCTTATGTTTAAAAGTTACCTTTGATAGATCCCTGAAGTTTCCTGGAAGAGTCAAGTCCAATTCCTCTGATTCATAGTTTGTTAACACCCATGGAAACACAGGATATTGATTCAGATCATTATATGTTCGTCCTAGTAAAGAAAACCAGAAATGAAAATTTGTAAACACTAATTGCTTATGAAATAGTGGCTGTTCTCCTAAGGCAACTGCTGCATTTTAGGAGACAAGTAACTCTTTTTGTTTATTGAACCACGTCTTTGGATAACCAAAAGCACTCTGATTACAATGCATTTCAAGTGAATTCATTTGATAATTTTTTTAAAAGTAACTATATTACTATTTAGAATATAAGAGTGTGATGGATTGCGGGGTGGTTGTTGCAACTGATTCTCTTCTTCCCAGGCTAGACCTCCCTTGAAAGTAGCCATGGCCACGGGACTTTGGCTCTTAGTCTTCAGAATGTGAGCTGAGGCCCTTTGAGGCATGGCCTACAGAAACTTCCACATGTATGTCTCCTCGTCCCATTTCTCTTCTGCTGATGTAGCTGACACTGCAGCTTTGGAAGCAGAGCCCAAAAGAGTGATCACGGAGGAGGTCACCCCGGTGATCTGCACACTTGCAGCTTATGTGATGGTCTTTTACGACAATAAACAAATATTTAGAAATTACATTTCCAGTACCCAGAATACTATATTAAACATATCAAGGATCAATGTAGAGAATTTTCAGGTGAACAGAAGTACTCTGAAGCCAGGATGAAAAAGTATAGAGATAGATGTCTAACATATATTTTTACACTTCTTTAAATTCATGATTTTGCTGGGCTCGGTGGCTCAGCCTGTAATCCCGCGCCTTTGGGAGGCTGAGGTGAGTGGGTTGCCTGAGTCCATGGGTGCGAGACCCGCTTGGGCAGGCGAGACCTCATCTCTACAATAAAATCAAAAAATTAGCCGGGCGTGGTAGCGCGCGCCTGTAATTCCGGCTACTCGGAAGGCTGAGGTGGAAGGATCGCTGGAGCCCAGCAGGTTGAGGCTGTGGTAGCCAGGAGCGGCCACTGCACTCCAGTCTGGGCGACAGAGTGAGACTCCAACTCAAAAAAGCAAACAAACAAATAAATTCATGATCTTGAGGGGGGTATTATTTTGTATCACTTTAGTGGAGAACTGCTGGACCTTAGGTTGGGTTTCTCTGTTTATTTGTTGGTAGGATGACTTAAATATTTCAGGTAGGATACTGAGGCACAGTAGGAAAGTAGAAAGTTTAGGGGAGCACAGAACTGGCTCCCCTTCATAAACTGATACTGAAATAACATAGGATCAGATGAAATTTAAAAAATCACTATTAAAGAAACAGGGTCCAAAGAAAACCTTTGCGCACAAATTTTTTCTATAAATGTGTTGTGATCTGATGATGGGCAACTTTCTAAGCGTCCATTAAAATTCACATAGCTACTTCATGGGCATTTAGTGATACAGCTTTTAGCCAGTATTTTCCTGCCATATTTATAACAGCCATTAATAATGTCCATACCACATGTCCCATCACAGTCACATAAATATGCAGATATTATCTTATCATCAGGAGATGACATTAAATAGTATCTACTTTTGAAGTCATTGGTAAATATGACTGTGAAACGAGGGGGAAAAAATCCCACAACCTGAGTAAGAACTAAAATCCATGAACTATTATAAGGATCAAATCAAATTAATTCATTTAGTAAACATTTTATTGTTGACTATTTTATCTGTTTATCATAAGCAGCTTTGACTTTTACAACTAAGCTACACATTTTCATGTGCAAATTGATGTGAGTGTGTAACATTTATGCAGGTAACTGAAAGAAGAATGTTACTTCTAGTTTGGGATAAACTCAGTTAGGGCTTCTGTGTCGCCCCACTTAGCTCTCAGGCCTCTGATACACGGTCACTGCTTACGTGTCTACCTTTCTACTCGTCTGTAAACTCATGCATGCAGGGGCTGGGTTGTTGTTTTATTTTAATCTCTGTGTATTGGTACATACTGTCTTCCAAATAAATATTTACTGCTGGAATGTATGTGAATGTGATAACAATTTTGTGAAGTGAGCCAAATTTTAAAAGATGAACAAACATAAGCCAGAAAAGAAGAAAAATTGCAAAACATTCTTTTTAGAGGATAAGGATTATACAAAAAGTATATATGACAGAGAATGGCATCGTCAATGTGTGTGTAAAACTAGAAGAAAATGTCTGCTTCTAGATAGCTTAACCAATCAATTAACCTGCTTTGGGTTTATAAGTCTATTGTAAAAAATAATACAAGAATTTGGAGCCATTATTAAAAGCTTTTATACAATAAAATGATCTGCTAAAACAGTACCATTATGTAAAATGTAAGCTATAAAATTTAAAATGTATGATTGATTGACAGTTCATATGTATGCTAACCTAGACATTTGATTTCTCCCAGTATTTTTAAATGTGTATATATATATACACACACACACAGAGAATATAGATTGGCCAGGCAAAGCTATTTCTGGGAACCTAAATGGGTCCATGGCAGGCTTAGTGCTCTTACATTTTCTGGGGAGCTGTTCTACTTAAAAATCCATAGATTTTAACGAAAAGTAGGCCTTCTAGTGCGTGTCTTTTTATAGAATAACACTAATGCTATCTATTTACATATATAACATACCTTGCTTAAACAAGTCAATTGATAGATGAAAATTAGATACCACAGTTATTTAAAAAATTTCTGATGAAGTTTTGGAACTTATATACTATGGAAAAACTATCAAAATAAATTAAAAAGCATTTGAGTGTACTGCATAAATGTAAACAGCATAACAGTATTTGAAGACACTAGCCTTTTACTGGAAATGATGTTTTAATAAAGGAAAAGATACAATGCTGTTTTTAGAAAAAATACAAAGGAGAAAAACCATCATTTAAAAATGCATACATACATATACACAAAATGATTGATGCCAATAATCATAGCATATGGTGACTTATCTGCCCTGTATTTTTTATAATTAACTTCCAATAGTCTTTAAGAGTGTCTTCGAAAATAATTGTTAAGAAAAACCTAGTAATTTTTAAATTAGCAGAGCTTTAGAGCACTGCTTTAATTCTAATACATAAAATACCTTTTAAAATAAATGCAATGACCTTAAAACCTGTTTTTAATAAAAATTTTCACATAAAAGTCTTGCAAGATGAACAGTCAATATATATTTTTGATTTGAATTAAAATGCAAAATGTATTTCATGTCACATAAAAAAGAATGATTAAGTAGTGCTTTGGGGATTTTGCATTGATGAGTTTTAACTATGTATTAGCATTAATGCTTTAATTATTTTACTGAACACTTTTGTGAAATGAAAAAAAAATATTGTTCATGAAATTGTCCAGAAAGTGAGACATTTTCAAAGTACTACTTGTTAGGCGCTACACATCTAGTATTTATTTATTAATGGTTTTGCTTCTTCTTTAGGATGGTTGAAATTTAGCAAATGCACTTCAGCTATCATTGGTAGGGCTCTTTCCTCTTCCAGCAGTGGTAAATGCAGGATGTACATATATATTTTTTGCCAACTATGCTTACAGAGATTTATCTTAGAAGATGAATATTCAATATTGTGAGCCTATGACACTAATCTACTCAAACAATAAATGTGAAGCACAGTAAATGAGATCTCAGAAACACTGGATATGTTTATTTAAAAAAAACTTTTTAATTAAACCATCCAATTTAATGTTTTTATGTGGCACTTTAGTTTTGAAGGTAAAGTGATCTAGAGACAGCTGACAAAGAAATTATAACTGCAATTCCTTGGTGAAAATGTTAATGACAGCAAAATATTGTTTAATTAGATGATTGCAGCATCTGGATTAACACTCTTTAAGAGCGATGTTCCTGTGCTTGTCTGCTTCTTCACACTTTACAGACATTTTGTCATCTCCAGGTCATTAGGAAAGAATTTTTAATGATTTTTCTAGAAGCAAGCAGTTCAAGTTACATCTAATTAGATGACAATAATAAGCCCACCACATGCAGTAGCTAAATATATACATAATTAACCAGGGAGGGCTTGTTCATCACAGAGTAAAAAAGTGGAAAATGCTAAACAGGAGAGAAAGGCTGGGGTTGGGGAAGTTGGGCTGAATGCGTTAGCTGGTCGTATGAAAAAGCTCTCGGAATCCTTTAGAAAGAATTCTCCAGTCTCACAAGGGATCATTTATACAAAGCTATGTTAGCAATGTTTTCATAATGTAAGAATGCCAGATTGGAGCATCTTTTTCTTAGTATTATCTAATAAGGTGTAAGATGAAGCATAGATCGTATCTTCAGAACACAAGAAGCAGAAATCAGGTCAACTCTGGGAACTGAAGGTTGAAACCACATTTTCAGTAGAACTCTTAAGTATCATTAAAATTCTTTTACATAATCTTCTAAAACTTAATGTTCTTTGAAAAAAAAATTCCAAGTGTTTAAAAAATAGTTCAATTGGCAGTTATAAAATAGACTCACATGCAGTTTTAAAAATCATGGCTTCAAAGACTATTTAATAAAAAAAGAGTGTGAGTGTATATGTGAACAGATTCCCAATGATCCTCCACACACAGAAAAAGAAAACCAGAAAAATTATCAGAATGTCATCTAGAATATTTATGCCTAGACTTATGAGTGGGTTAATTTCTAAAATTACACTTTTCTATATTGCTAATTTTCTAAGTTGAATATTTATTAAATTCATAAATAGAACAAAATAAAGACTATGAACACATTTATGGGATTTTAGGTATCTTTAAAAAAATGTATTTTCTGAATATTTGACAAATGTCTTTTACTATGTAAAGTAGCTTTACAAAAATTATATATGTATAGTAAAATGTGTATTTGTTTATATGCAATTATGAGTCTATGTACATATCACAAGAGGGTCTAAAAAGTCTAGATTATGCAGTAATACTAGATACTAGGGCCATATGGTTTATAGAGTCTCATTTTTAAAAGCATCTAGAAAGGAGAAAAGTAAAATTGGTCAGATACAAGAGGTCTTAAGAAATGGAGAGAAAGAAATGGGTCATAAAATGTACTTTGTATTCCATATTAAAATAATGTTTTTGGGAGAAAAGATAA